AAAAACCTTTCCATTAATGAAAAATCAAAGTCATCTTAGCATGTCCACATTAGAGCTTCGAGTAGCAAGTTTTTCCAAAACAGTAAGTCAGTCCTTATAGCTAATGTTTATTTACTCCGGGTCGAGTCTGGGCAACACAGGCAGTATAAGGTTACCAAAGGAGGAATCCTGAGTGATGAAGAAGCCGGATGAGTGTGCATGTGCATGCTGAAACCAAACCAGAGAAAAATACTCATCTGAAGGACATTATCAAGAATAAACGAATGCTAAAAATTCCCAACATGAAGCTTATGGTACCTGTAAAGCTGCTTTCTGCTGTGCTGCAATGTGCTGCTGTTCGGCCTGATCCCTGAACTCCTTTACTGCTGGTCGAGAGAGGGGAATGCTGGGAAAGAAAGGACAAGTACTGCATAAGTTATGACTTTTTTATGAGTATGCGAAAAGTAGATTATTGCTAGGACAGATACTAACTTAACAGCAAGAGAGAAACCCTGTAAAACACAGATATGTTTATAGTGATAGGTGTGGTTAAAGCAGTACCTGGCTCCTGGGTTATTCATAGACTGGCTCTGTATGAGGCGTCTCTTCTCCTTATCGAGCTCAGCTAGAATAGCAACCCTGTTTTTGTTTTGAAAACCTACTGAGGTCAGATGTACAGATTAAATGATTAAAATTAAGCAACCAGTGAAATTGAAAATTCGCAAATCTAATAGAAACAGCGCGAGAGAGCGACACAACGACTGATTAAAGCTTCATTCGTCAATGTGTGACGGGCTACTTTGTGTATGCTTTGTTATTTTTAGGGATTTACTTTGAAAATGATTTAAACGGTAAATGTCACAATCCACGAGCTTTAAATTAATATCAGAAAAGACAGTCCAGCTGTTTCTGGCGTCTGATATGCTACAGTATTTACCTTGTCCGGGCGGATTCGCGGCCATTTTACATACTCTAAATCTAAATGTGAAACAGTAGAAACTACTTTAAAAATCTACGCCAAATCAATAAATTGAATGTAAAACGGACGCACAGTGTCCTATGCTCTGATAGATGAAGCAGCTCTCGCTCGCTCGCTCGTGTTCTTCGGTAAGAGCTCGACGCGTTGCAGCGCCGCCTGGAGAACTGGAGCGACTGAACACCGACACAACGACTGATTAAAGCTTCATTCGTCAATGTGTGACGGGCTACTTTGTGTATGCTTTGTTATTTTTAGGGATTTACTTTGAAAATGATTTAAACGGTAAATGTCACAATCCACGAGCTTTAAATTAATATCAGAAAAGACAGTCCAGCTGTTTCTGGCGTCTGATATGCTACAGTATTTACCTTGTCCGGGCGGATTCGCGGCCATTTTACATACTCTAAATCTAAATGTGAAACAGTAGAAACTACTTTAAAAATCTACGCCAAATCAATAAATTGAATGTAAAACGGACGCACAGTGTCCTATGCTCTGATAGATGAAGCAGCTCTTGCTCGCTCGCTCGTGTTCTTCGGTAAGAGCTCGTCGCGTTGCAGCGCCGCCTGGAGAACTGGAGCGACTGAACGCTTGGACTGCGGGTGAGTTTGTTCTACTTCTTCTTGAAATTTTATTGGCGGTTGACAAACAACAAAATGGTGTATTTCCGCCACCAACTGGTATGGAGTGTGGATCAAAAAAGTGACTTACTGGGTGAGTGTGTTTGCTTCTTCTTCTTCTTTTAATTTTATTGGCGGTTGGCAAACCAACTGCTTGCGCTACATTTTTAAAATAAATAAAAATACATGAATGAACACAAGTAGGCAAAAACAATAAATCATCAATAAATGTTTAGGTTTCAGGATTTTTTTTTATTCCAAACTTTGTATAAAGACGATTCTCAGCTATTTTATGAAAGACAGTGTTGGGCTCGATACTCCAAAAATGTAATTTATTACTCGTTACTAGTTACTCCTTTCAAAAGTAATATTATTACTTTACTTATTACTATCTGGCAACAGTAATTAGTTACACTACTAGTTACATTACTTTTCCTTCACGCCCCACAGAAGTTATAATTGTGTATCTTCCCCATAAAATTCTTCATCATTTGACCAAAATCTACATTGGACCGCAGTTTTTACAAACGCTCAATGTAACGTCCACATCTGTGTTCAGATCAGCTTTTCTCCTGACATAACCAGTGCAGTGGCGATATTTCCATCCCCTGAATGTAAGCTTTTCCATATTCCAAGCTTTCCCGCTGCACTGCTGGCTTGATGTGCCTGTGCGAGTCGTGAAAATGATGAAAATAAATCTAGGAATTATTAGATTGAGAGATTTCAACTCAGTAGGGGTTGAGGCATCAAAAGTAACCAAGTAACGAGCTGTTTTATGGAGGGTAACTGTAATATTAATAGCAATTAGTTACACTACTAGTTACTGCAAAAAGTAATATTATTACAGTAACTAGTTACTGCCCAACAACACTGATGAAAAATATAACAGAATGATTTGATATACCATTTTGCTTTATGCAGTATGTGTGTAAAATGGCCATAGGAGGGTTTTCCCATTATATACAATGTATCTATATACTGTATATAATTTGCATATTAACGTGTTTTTTGAGAACAGGAGGTTAATGACACTGAAAATACATTTTCAATGTAGTTCAGAGGGATTATAATTCTGATACATGGTGTTTTAATCATGGATAGACATGGTAACAGAAAAGAAAGGACAAACAGAAAAAAAATGAACAAACGCAAACACTACAGTCTGCCTCATCATATGAAAACATTTACACATTAGTGAAGGGTTTCATTTGTGAAAAAACATGGCAGTTTTCAGAAAGGTACAAAGGAGCACTAATGTTCATTTACATTTATACAAGATAACATTGACTGGCTATACCTATACGTACAAAGATATATGAACTCATTGTCCATTATCTTCTTTTTCGACAAAAGTACAACCTGAAAATCATTTGCATGTGTCAGAAATCGAATGGAGGAAAGGGTCTGGAATATGAACAGCGTTTATCACCATCAAATATGAACAACTAAAACTGGGAAGATATGAAAGTTTTGGATGGCACAGGTGAGGAACCCTGCATTATCATGTCTCCTCTACAGCAACTGAGAAATATTGCAGGCATATGCATAATTTGGAAGATGTGGTTTTGACAATATTAAAAATCAAAGACAGCTCCAAAACAGCTGATGAAAGACAAGAATGCAATAATGTGAATCAGGAGTCGTCTAGCAGATTGCTTGCAGTCAAGCAGCTAAATAATCTTTACTATTAGTTATGAGGATATTCACATAAAAAGGCCCTGAGTAGAGAGATGGTTATTAAGGCATAACAAGGTGAATAAGCAGTTTATTTCATGAAGGTCTTGAGGAAACATCGCCCTTTTCCACACTTTTATTAAACGGGTTGTACAGGCACACACGTAACCAGCTGTTTGATAGTGAAATATAAATATATGTGCTGTGAAATGTAGGGCAGATCAGAAACCTTCAGCTATAAAACGTCAAAAATATCACAAGGCTTCATGACAGTGCAATGGTCTGTTTAGTGATGAATAAAAGCTGCATTCAACAAGCATATTTGAGAGTCTGGGAAAGATAAGATTAAGTTCCTTCATTGTTTTAGTAACTGTCTGATATATTAAATAAAACTGAATAAAATCAGACTAAAGCTACTGGCAGATTACATGAAGCAGGTTTTGCATTTTTCATCTATAGGTTATTGTTAATGCTTAATCTGTGTTTAAGAAAGCAGACTTCCACTGAGCACAGCGAGGAATCGTTTGAGCTGTTTTGTGAGAAGGCACTACGTAAAATGAAGTCCTAAAAAGCAGCCTGTCCTCTCTTAAATAATGCCTAAAAGTCCGTATTAAGCACCTGTGCCAACCAAATCATGGCTTCAGCCAAACCTAAAGACCACCTCGAGTTGATGAATTTGTTTGAGCACTTTTGAGTAATTTGATCTACCCTAGAAACATTTTAGATCACATTTGATACATTTTACTTGCCTTCAAGAAGGAATAGGCATTAATATAGACCACATTATGCCAGTGAATCACAAACAGAATCACGTCATATTTCACCCCAAAACCTCAAAATGTAAAAAAAAAAAATAAAAAAATGTAATGCAATATACATAATCTCATTTTTTGGACCACAAAAATGACATTTATCTATTATTTAATTAAAGAAAATAAATCTAATTTTTTTATTCTCATTGCTTTAAAATAATTGTCCAATAAAAAATGTAAAAAGTAATCCAAACTGTAATATTATTTTATTTTTCTTGCATTATGCATAATGATTATCTATAAATTCTATATAAATCTAATTTTTGATTCTCATTACTGTAAATTTTTGCTACTAAAAAGAAACCAAACTAATAATTCTTAAAAATGGAAAAATTATTATAATTACAGTAATGAGAATGAGATTTTCCTTGCATTACACAATTATGTAAGATTATCTTTATAGTTTATGAAAAACATTTTATATAAACAAAAAAAATCTGTGTAAACTGCTACAAAAAAAAATCAAGCTGTAATAATACAATTATTGTAAGCAAAGTAATATTACAGTAATGAGAATGAGTTTTCCCCTTTTATCATTCACATATTGTCTTCATATATTGTTTATAAAAATTCTATATAAACCAAAACTAATTTTGATTCTCATTACTGTAAAATAATTTGACACTACTAAAAAGCAAACTGTAATACACTTGATTTGAAATAACATTTACAGTAATGACAATGACATTTTTCCTGCATTATGCATGATGATTGCGGTTTCATAATGATAATGGAAATAATGGAATCATCATGAAAAAACCTTACGGCGGTAGTTCACCCAAAAATGTACATTTTGTCATTTATCCACCCTCATGTTGTACAAAAAGAGTTTTGGTTACTATTGACTTGAGAGAGACAGAGAAAACAAACAAACACTGACACATTTCTTAAAATATCTTCTTTTATGTTTCACAGAAGAAGAAAGTCATACAGGTTTGAAACAACACGAGGGTGAGTAAATGACAGAAATTTCATTTTGGGGTGAAATAACCATTTAATGGGTCCTTAAATAAGCTTCTTTTTCTTTAAGCAATAAACATTTCATTTTGGGATGTAATATGAACTGGACATGTTCTTGACAGGTCTCATGAGATTCACTCGCAGCGTTTTAGTGACTACACACGTGTAGACTCATCAGACTCAGAGTACGGAAAAGGTTTGGTTTAATTCGGCCCTGACAGAGCTGATCAACCAATAACTGCAAAACAAACGAACCTAGTGAAAAGAATCAGTGAGCAGGTTCTCAACTGATCTGTGGACTGAGATGAAGGAGCATATCAATCAAGCCTCAAGACTCACTACTGGATTGCAAAGCTTATTTAGCTGCTTTTTTCCATTAGTAAAGATTCAACTAATCTTTTTGGAGGACAGGAAATCTGTACCGCCATGCTCTGCTTCAATCTCGTGTGGCCCTCATCCCGTCCAGCGGCCCGGCTGAATGTCTGCATGCTTGAACATGAACTGAACGATGAAGACTGAACCCGATTCTGCTCAAGGAACAGAATCTGCTGCGAGCACTTAAATATAATGAAGCTACAGCACAAGCTACTTACTGTATACAAGTCATGATCAGACGACCAATTACATGTGCAGGGAAGTTCCTTCCGCATCCCAACTGTCCTGAGGTTATTAGTAAGAAAAAAAAGGGCTTTCTGACAACAGTGAATGATAATATGAAAATCCAGTTTTAAAAGACAACCAAATATCATGATTAAGCAGATTTAAAAGTGGAAAACGTTGCCAAACAAAACAAAAACTACCTTAAAATTGTATCGATTGCTCTAAAATAAAGCAAACCCTTCCGACAAAGCAAACGGTGTAAGTCCATCATCGCAGGGGCTACAATGAAGTACTGTAGTCCTCCTACTGAATATAGTGCGTCCTCCACAACACATCTCACAGGCCAATGGGAAGTTCTGGTTTGTGTCTTTTTATTAGAAGGCCCATGAATCCGTATGTGGGGCCGGTAAAAGTGCCATCAGTGGAGCCCGATTCTAGGTTCAGCAACACCCTGGGCCTCAAACGGGCAGGAGGGCTCCGAGTCACGGCTCTAGCAGTTTATGGGACAGTCTGTCTTGGCTTTGCCAGCAAAACTGATGATTCTCCTGAGGCAGCGACCAAACTCCTCCAGAATGAGGCGTTCTGCCACGGCCTGAGGCTGGTTGGTGAGTTCGGCCTGCTCGGCCTGCTCCAGCAAACAGTCACACGTCGCCTCGGCCACTTCCTTCGTTACGAATGTGTATGGCAACCTGGAACGAGATTTACACTTGAATTAATACAAGAAGATCATTTTCGAAGACTAAAAGGACAGAAAGTGTGTAGGTTTTCCATGTGGTTTCTGGACAGTCGCTAGAAGAACACCAAGACATTTTTTACACAGGAAATTACCTAGTAACCACTTTAAATATATTGCTATGGTATTTTAAGTCATTTTTACTCATTAATTGCTGTGTGGTTTACCAAGAAGCTGCTAGGTGGTTGCTTGACAAGTTGTTAAGGTGCTTTGGGTTGTTGCTAGGAAGCTGATTAGGTGTTTTGGTGGCTCATGGGTAATTGCTGGATATATTGTGATGGACAGACATCATAATGCAGAGCTGATAAAGTGAAGGTGGGACATACTTTCCGCCACCGCTGATGACGGCCGGTGTGGTTCTAGTGAGCAGATCTGAGATCTGTGAGGAGAGTTTGGTTTTGGCTGCGGTTTGCTGCTGGACTCGCACCTCTGCAGCGTCTGCCAGGTGCATCAGCGTCTTCCTCTCTGGACTCTCCTCAAAGTTCTTGCAGCCCATGCATTTGCAGATGGACGAACACATGATCTTTGCCTGAAGTGAAGAGACAACAGAATGATATCTGGGGTCCTAAACACAAGAGAAACCTGACCATATCTTCTATACGACACTTCCACATTCTTTGCAGAGTGTAAACACTCACCTCATAACACTCGCAGTAGTTTTTCAGACAGCCAGACTTCTTACAGTTGCAGCCTTTGCTGTGTCTCCTGTCTGACTCCCCTTGTTTGCCTTTGCCAATCTTGGGCTTGAAAGCCACAGGGTTTCTGTCTAAACATGCCTGGGAGAAAGTACATTACTTCATTTGATGCCTATAGATCAGGGGTGCCCAACCCTGTTCCTGGAGATCTACCTTCCTGCAGAGTTCAGTTCCAACCCTGATGAAACACAGCTGTCTGTAATTATCAAGTGCTCATTCAGATCCTAATTAGTTGGTTCAGTTGTGTTTGATCAGGGTTGGAGCTGAACTCTGCAGGAAGGTAGAGCTACAGGAACAGGGTTGGGCACCCCTGCTATAGATATTCAAAGCATTACAGCAGAACTGTCCTGTACAGCAAAACAAACGAGATGTCAAGGGAGTTGCTTTGCTATTGCTAGGTAGATGTTAACGGGCAAATAGAAAAAAAGGCACATTTGAAGTACTACGTTTGTAGTGAGATGAAAAAAAAAGACAATGGAGATCTACAGTAGGCAGTAATTCATTACCTTGATGGCCTTCAGTCTTTCACTCTCATGATCAAGGTTGTTGAAGCAATTAACACAGTTGCAGTTATTACAGAATTCCCCGTTGGCAAAGCAATCACAATACCTGTGAGACGAGAGATGAAACTCTTAGTGTAAATGCAAGATGCAATTCATGAAAGAACTTGATACACGAGGCAACTTTTTGAGGAAAGAAATTTCTATCTGGATACTTTAGATCGGTCGTGGGCCCTGTGTCTCACCTGGTTGCCCGCTGACGGCAACACTGCCCAGCAACATTGCTCAAAAAGTTGCCCCATGCATCATCACCTTAAGGGTGAAGATTTTTAATGTTGAAGTTTCTTATGCTCACCAAGACTGCATTTATTTGACCAGAAATACAGAAAAATATTGTACATTATTATTAATACCATTTAAAATAACTGTTCTCTATTTTAATGTTTTAAAATGTATTTCTGTGATCAAAGCTGAATTTTCAGCATCATTACTCCAGTCTTCAGGGTCACATTATCCTTTATGAATAATTCTACTATGCTGATTTGCTGCTCAAGAAATTATCATATTATTTCTTATTATCAGTTTTGAACAATTTGCTGTTTACTATTTTCTTAATTTGGAAAATACGGTTTCAAGATTTGCTGATGAATATACATTTCAAAAGAACAGCAGTTATTTGAAAGTAATCTTTTGTAACATTCTAAAATGATAAAAATGTTGGAATTTTGAAATGATAAAATTTAAATCAATTTAATGCATCCTTGCTGAAGTATTTAAAAAAAATAAATGTTACTGACCCCAAACATTTGACTGGTGGTACATGTAATGCTTCAGGCAAATAAAAAAATTAATAAAAAACCAACAGCCACTGCCAACTTACTGGCTGCATTTACACTGCAAGTCTTAATGCACAGATACGATCTTTTGATCGTATCCGATATTTTTGACCCGTCTGTTTACATTCACTTTTAGACAGGACTGGTATCCGATATCTGTGTTTACATAATTCCCGCCCAGAATGATAGTCAATGATAGCTTTACTATGCACATAGTAGACCCTCTGGTTTTGAATGGCCGTGCTATTAAAATTATTTATATAACTCGCGTCAAGTGGCCATTATTATTTGCCAGCATCAGCATGGACAACGGCTGTCATGGATGTTTTGCAGCACATAATCTGACTGAACGGATAAATAACAGTCATTTTCATTTGTTAGGCTATTTTATCTACAGCTCGTTAGAGGTGGAATTCTTTAGTGAAATAAAGTAGCGCCAAGATGATATTTATTTAAATTAATTCAAATGAATTAGCGAGAGAGAGAGCGAGCGAGCTTGCGAATAAGTGAAACTTATCACGTCATTGCTAAGAAATATAATGTAGCTTTTAGTAGCGAAGCTGTTGTATTTATAAAATTCACAGGGCAGGGGTTGAAAACCAGCTCCTGAATGTGCAATTTCTCACCTAGCCTATACAAAGTTTCCATCTCAATAAAATGCGAGCGCATGCACGTCTGGCAAACGTGTCGCCCTCGCATTGGGAGTTCTGCGGGGATTCGGATATGCGTGTATAGACGTAGGTTGGATGTCCAGATATCGGATATGCATCCGATTAAAATCCACATTTGGAAGTGGCTCAGATCGGATGCGAAAAAATCAGATCTCGTGCGGATTTTTGTGTTTACATGTGTGCAACAAATTCCGATAAGATGCGAGCAAAAAATCTGATTTTTTTGTGCCAGTGTAAATGCAGCCTTAAACTGCTTGACAGGGTGTGCTTTTGAGCAATAAAATATGAAATTAAATTATACCTGTGATAATCTGCTTCCTGTCTGTCAGAATTAACTGTTCTTACTGGTGAATTTGACAGTAAGAACTGAATTGCAGATTGTTAAAAAAAAAGGAAATTGTTGTAATATTATACAACTGGATCTGGAAACTATGAAAGCACTTGCCAAATGCAGCAGCTGAAACAGGTTACACCCTTTATATGGGCCATTTTCAACTTTAAAAGAATTGAAACAAATGCTGGGTAACGTACAATTTCAGACACTGTGACCGTGTGCAGTTGCAGGGTTTTCTCGGCCTTGAAGTTGCTTCGGACGTTGATAAACTGTAATAAAACACAGGCAGAATGTAACCTGAGCATTAATTTGTATATATAATTGACCTGTGCTGGCAAAATGAGTCACAATGAGAACATTTTCAAAAATGAGTTATTTTTAATGTTCACATTATAAGACTTTCAGAATTGAAGTCGATAGAGTCAGCAAAGTCAATTTTGAGAAAAATAGAGTTAAAGTTTTCTGAAGGTTCCAAAGCAAAATCACGGAGCAACGTTGCATCTTTTCCTCCAGTTCTTCTCTTAATAATAATTACTATATTGATAATCACAATATAGCTATTTTAAAAAAAAATCTTTGTTATTATAAATAAGAAAAAAAAAAACAGTAAAACAATAAGAAAAATAAAGCAAATAATGCATTACCTTTTTCATTTAACATCTAAACAAAAGCATTCAAGAAAAACAAATAATCAAATGTAAAAATCCCTTTACTGTGTTTATTACAAATAAATTGATTATTAAAACTACAAAAGCTGTTCAATCAAGAGCAGCGAGTGATTCCCTCTTTTCTTTTATTGTTAGATTAACATTAATGAGGTGGCCTACAGTATATTAAGAGCTACTGTAATGCACGGATCTAATATAATGTTACACATCAGATGTTTTTCCCCAAACGTTTACTTAAGACATAACAGATTATGGTTGCATGAATACTTAAATACTGTAATTCTGTGCACAGTCAGCGCGAGAAACGAGTGGAGAAAAGGTACTGCTCTCAGAAAACGTACAAATAAAGGTAATTAAACATCTAAAATTATTATTTGGAGCATTGGGATCGCTAGACGAGGGCTTAATGAACTCGTTTTTGTGAAAACTTCAAAATCAACATTTTTCAATTTTTTTGCCTGTAGTTTAAAATTTGCCCGTGCGCATTTA